TGTGTTTGATTTAGGTGTAAAAGTCCATTAGGACTTGTCTTGTAAAATTCAAGCTCTCATCTCTAATGAGCAGCTTCATCCATTGCTATATCCCCTGCCCATAAACAGACACATCTTTATTGAGTCCTCTCAGTAGACTTGCCTTTGTCCATTGAGTCAGAGCTATTGGCTCTCACTTCAGGTTTAGTTCTGTTCCTGGAGAGCCCCTGATTTATATTTCTTTCTTGTTTCCCATTCTACTTTTGACATTCCCAAGAGAAAGGGATAAAGTTTTAGGGAGATGGTTATTTTCCAGTTCCCTTAACTTATATAGAGAGAAGCACTGAGGTTATATATACATCTACTTGGGATTCAGAGAAGAATTGGCATATCCCTAACCAGCTATGCCGGTGTGTGTGTTCTTAGCCCACCATGATTGCCTTGACTAAAAGCTAAAATAGTGACCCTAGTCTTTATTTTTGCCCATTTTCCCTACAGTACCTTTGGAGCAGATATTCTAATAAAGAAAGGTATTTTCTTTAATATTACCCTCATAAGAAAACTACCTCTTTTTATTAGAATAACTCTGAGCCTCGTGTCTCTTTGAAACTAAGGGGATTGGGATGGGGTTTCTATTTGCTTTAGGTGAGGTGGTAGTGAAAAGGAGGGAACCCAAGCTACTATGATTTTTGCTCACCTGCTCCCCAGTGTATATACCAAAATCTTTGTCATTGTTGTCTTTGGTTTCTTTAGTTCAGTACTTGTTGGGGGTGGGAGATAATGAAAGGAAAATTCCTGTTTCTTGGTTGCTTATTAAGAAGCAGTAAGGGTTCAGTAAGACTTGGGATTTTTAGGTCAACCCCACCAGTCTTGAGTACAACTGTTTATAATCATAGTCAGTGATTTTATATATATATATCAGGATAACTCTGATGTTTCCAGAGCAAAATAAGAGAGGAGGAGTCCCTTTTCTCAATAGCCTTGTGCTTTGCCTGGGGCAATAGGATTATTAATATGGTGGCAAATAGGCACAGTCAGCCCCCTGCTCCTTGCCATCCTGGGTCCCAAGGGCATATTTACTTGATATTGTTGAAGACTTTAGCCCTTAGAGACCCTGGAACCAGTTATTCCCAGATAACAACATAGAATTTCCACAGAACAGGTTGGGTCAATTTTAGACTATCAGACAGTTTTCCAGAGTGCCCTGTTAATGTATTATACTCTTCTTCCCACTCCTGGAAAAATGGTATCTCTGCTGGCTTTGACACATGTTATGTGGAAAACCTGTTATATTTATCCATGTCATTGGCTACCCCTGCCTTCTAGCAACAGTACTTCTAGGAGTCCTTTTGTTTGAAGAACTCCTACAAGGAGGTGGTACCCCTCTGCTCCCCACTACCTCCTGCATGTATGGGATCCCTGCAGGGGCAGGGGAAGAGACCACAGCCAATCTCAGCATCATGTATATGGTTTCCCATCCACCTCTGATCTCCTATTGAATTAGCTGCCAGCGCACTGTCTTCCAGATTTGCCTCTGTGCTCCTTGTTACTGTACTGGATCTTGTTCTGTCTGCTCCCAGCAAGTCTTGGTTGGCCAACCAACTAACAAGAAATCAGTGTCCATCCTCCTCCCAACCCTCACCCCTTTTTTGTTACTGAAAGAATAGAAATGAACTCTCTCCTAGCCCTTCTGCTGGAAGTGGTAGGTGGGGGGTGCTCTGACCACTGTGATCTCTGCAGGGGGAACCGTGAGGGACTGAGCCGAACCTCAAGCAGCCGCCAAAGCAGCACAGACAGCGAACTCAAATCCCTGGAGCCACGGCCTTGGAGCAGCACCGACTCTGACGGCTCTGTCCGGAGTATGCGGCCTCCTGTCACCAAAGCCAGCAGCTTCAGCGGAATCTCTATCCTCACCCGAGGGGACAGCATTGGGAGCAGTAAAGGTGGCAGTGCAGGAAGGATCTCCAGGCCAGGTACTACAGCTGCTGTCCTTCAGTGTCATGCTCATCATTTCTTGTTTGTGTCCTGTAAAACATCACTGATGTTTGGGGTGCCCTGGTGGCTCAGTCGTTTAAGTGTCTGACTTTGGGTCAGGTCATGATCTCATGGTTCATGGGTTCAAGCCCCCTGTGGGGCTCTGTGCTAACAGCCCAGAGCTTGGAGCCTGCTTCGGGTTCTCTCTCTCTCTCTCTCTCTCTCTCTCTCTCTCTCTCTCTCCCTCACCCCCCCCCCTCCCTCCCCCCCCCCCCCCCCCCCCCCGTCCCCCGCTCATGCTCTGTCTCTGTCTTTCAGGAATAAATAAATGTTAAAAAAAAAATCACTGATGTTTACTTCTAACAAAACAGTTCTGGCAGTACAGTGTCCTACCTAACATAGCCAGATGAGGAGAAAGTTGAATTCTTGGATCCACAGTTTTTTGATTCCCCTCTCTGATTTTCTTTCAAACCTTTCTTTCCTAACTGGAAAAATAAATAAATAAGAGGTCGAGATTAGATTATTTTATCTTATTTCTGACCAAGGTTGGGCATCCCTGTCAGCCCAGGTTCAAGTTCTATGCTAAGATGAGAATGATACTGCTTTCATCCTGTGGCCTCTGAGATTATAAAGCGGGTTGGTAGAGCAGAAGGAACCGCTGGGGTTGAGCTATGTGTGATGAATTGGGATTAACCATTAGGCCACAACTTCAAGAGATGCTGTGCCTACTTCTCTGGATCCCGTCCCTGAGAAGGAGTATCTGGTCCACGTGCCAGCCCTGCAACCGCCCTTAGCTCTCCTGATGTGCTTTATAGCCTTCTCCATTTATTCCTGTTGTACTTTCTTAGGGGGTATTTAGCTCTTTTATCCCCAGTGGGCCGCTATGTCCCTCTCCTCCCATCCCTACAGAATCCTTGCATCTCATCACAGAAGTTCTGTAAATTTTGTCCTTGAAGACATCAGTAGTGGTGAAGATTCTGCCTCGGTTAGGTCTCTGATAGCCTTCTCTGTTACCTCCTCTGTAACCCCACTACCACTGCCTTTCTCCAGGCCCTTATCTTCTTTTCTTTAGTTATGATGCTAGACCCCAAGTTGGTTCCCCTGTCCCATCCTCAGCCCTTTTTAGAGCCAGTTTACCACTCTGAAACATGGATCTAATTGTGTCAGTCCTCTCTTAAAAAACATTCATGTTTTGGGGTGCCTGGGTGTCTCAGTTGGTTAAGCGTCCAACTTCGGCTCAGGTCATGATCTCACAGTTCGTGAGTTCAAGCCCTGCTTTGGGCTTTATGCCAACAGCTCAGATCCTAGAGCCTGCTTCAGATTCTGTCTCCTTCTCTCTCTCTCCCCATCCCCAGCTCATGCTCTGTCTGTCTGTCTCAAAAATAAATAAAGCATTCAAAAAAAATTTTTTTTAAATTCATGTTTCTGCATTCCCGGCATAATAAAATCCAAACGACTTAATGTAGCATTACTTCCTGACCCCAGTTTGCTATCTCAGTCTTACTCCCAGATATCCTTTCTCCTCTGGCTCTCCAGCCATTTCTTGAATATGATATTAGTTTCATCCCCTCTTGGTCTAACAAGCCTTCTCTTCATCCTGCAAATCCATTTCTCCTCCTACTTCCTATTTAAGTGAGTTACTGCTTTCTCATCTTTTCTTCCATATAACTTTGTTCCTATCACTGATGTATCCCTTGTCCTTATCAGATCGTAATCCTGTGTGAATGTACATCTCCTTTTGGAAGATCCTGTGCTGCTTAAGGGCAAGGACTGTGTTCTCTTCACCTTTGTGTCCTCAGTTCATTATGCCTAGCAAATATCAGATACTCAGTAGAAGTATTTTGTGTGAATGCATGCATGAGTTGGAGAGCCTGGAAATGGGAAGAATAGTTGGGTGACAGTGTGCATATGTGTGTGCGCACAGGCAAGTGTTTGGAGAGGCAAGATTGCCTTCTCAGCAACTCTTATGAAATGCTGCAAGTTGAGGAGAAATCCAAGACAAGCCAGATCTCTTACAGAACTGGGAATCTGTACCTTCCCAGGAAGCAGACATTCATGTTCTCAGCAGTCTAGTCATGTTGGACGGGTGCTGGGTACTTCAGCTGAGGTACCTTGTCAGCCTCACGTTTTGTTCACTTCCAAAATCAAGTATTGGCAGGCATGGCGTTTACTGTTCCTGGGGAACAGAAACCTGCTAAGATGAGGACTTCCATCAGCAGAGTGGCTGAAATATATCTGTGCTCGCTCATGGATCTTCCCAAGACAGTGGGGGAATGGACAGAAGGGCAGTGAAGAGAAACAGCAGGGAAGGAGTAGAGTCCTACGTGTCCAAGGGTGGCGTGTTCACAGTGGTGCTTACAACTCTTGGTGGGTCTCCTCTTTGCCTTAGGTTTGGCGCTAGGTGCCCCAGAAGTGTGCAACCAGGTCACCTCATCCCAGTCTGTCCGGGGCCTTCTCCCTTGTACTGCCCAGCAGCCGCCGCAGCCGCAGCCGCAGCCGCAGCCACTTCCTGCTCTCCCACCCACGCCTCAGCAGCAGCCACCCCTGAATAATCACATGATCTCACAGGTGAGTCACCACCAGAGCCCCTCCGCTCTGATTCCAGCAAGCTCTGGAAGTACAGTCATGTCTGTTGTGCTGTGGGTGGCAGGAAAGATCTGCTGTTGGAGACCTGCCACTCCCTCCCCTGCTTCTTATTTGTTAGTTGTGGGGAGAGAAGAGTAAGGGTGAGGTTTTGGCCATAGTGCTCTTAGAGTCGGCCTGGGAGCTTTTTGCTTTCTGTTTCTTCCTTTTCTTCCGGAGAATTGCCAGTGGGATCTTTTACCCCACATTTCTGCTGTTCCCCATCTCCCTCTACATCCTGTGTAATTAGCAAGGCGATTTTATTCACTGCATCCATATATGGAGCTTGAAAAAATCACAGCTCCCACCATAACCAGCTGGATGTGTTCATGTGACTGTTGACCCACAAACACATTTATGGATTGGGGTGTGAGAAAAGGAAATATACTGAAGACCCCTGCCATACATATGCCATAAGGCACAAATCCACCGAGGTTGTCTTTATTTCCCATGCCACGAAAGAGCTCTTTCTCCGTCTGTTGCTGGACCGGTAAATATTAATATCAAGTAGGGCTTGAGGCAAGTTTTCTTTCTGTAGAGATCACACAAGTCTTCAGCATCAGAATCCGATCCTGTCCTAAACTGGATCAGTGTTATAGGTTCAGGTCTCCCTGATACTCTGAGGGGAGCTGCTCATGAGTGGAGCCCATCCTCTGTCCTAGGGTATGTCCAGTGGTGGTCTCTGCCTGTCAGAAAGCCCGTATGTCTGCCCTTCTACTGCTGCAGTTTTTCTCATTGCACCTCCCAGGCTCCCTCATCTCCATGCTCAGTCAGTCCAGCTTGGCTTCAGCTCTGTCTCTTCTGTAGGTAAAAGAAGCAAATCACAAGCATTAATACCCCAGGAACTGGAAACTAGACTAGAAAGAGCCCAGGCTGGCCCAGTCCTATCCCATTCTGATATTGTAATGATCTAGGAAACCCCCTGCTTCATGTCTTAATGTAACCCACATGCAGATCATTCTAGGCCTTTATCTTGGCCCCTAAATCAGTTTCTCTGTAGTCCTAACTTTCGTTCTTGCTCTACCACCATCTACCTCAATAAGTCTCATTCATGTCAGCTTACCTCACTCCGTATTGAAGTGTGGCACGTGTGTGTGCATTCGGTTTGTGTCTTCATTCAGATCTGTAAGTGGGCACACCTTTCTCTCTGGGTATCCCCTACTGTGTTTCTGTGTGTGCCTCATTTTTCTAAGGTCCTAGTATTTGAGTTTTCTAAAATGTATGTATTTTTTAATAGTCTTGCTCCTTTTTCTCCCTCTTAGTCTTCATCTGCTTCCTCCTTCCATCCATATCTAGAAACAGACAACAAGAGTGGGAAAGCAATACAGCAATCACTAGAATAAGCATTTGGGACTGAAAAAATGTTAGAATGTTTAGGTGTCTGGCCCTAAATCCCAAACTTTTACTCAGATTCTGGCCCTGCGTCTGGTCATGAGGTTCTGTGAGTCAGTCATTGACATTGACTGATCTCCTGCAAGGTGTACAGTACTAGGTTAGGCCCTGTCGATTGGAGATCTTTTTCCTCAGAAATTTATTCTTAAGGTTAATTATGATCACAAACTCCAAAACTAAAAGATCTTATCCTGGTTAAGTTTTGGTGTCCCTGAAGCACTTATGATGGTGACTGATATTATACTACCATCACCCCACTATTTATTTTTTTAATGTTTATATATCTTTGAGAGAGAGACAGCGTATGGTTGGGGAGGGGCAGGGAGCGAGGGAGACACAGGGTCCGGGCTCTCAGCTGTCAGCACAGAGCCCAATGCGGGGCTCAAACCCACAAACGAACCATGAGATCATGACTTGAGCAGAAGTTGACGCTTAACAAACTGAGCCACCCAGACGCCCCTGCCACTCCACTATTTATAGCTTCTTTTTTTTCCTCTCCACTTTTCCCCCTCTTTCTTTATCCCCTTCTTCCTACTGCCTTTTTCTTTCTTTTTTTCCCTGTCTCTCAGCACTGGTGACTCTCCAAACTCAAGGTGCTGAGCCCCAGCATATGTATTGTTTAGTTTCTCAAGTGGCATGCAACAGTACAGGGATGAAGGAAGGAACCACACACGGATGTGCGCACGCGCACATACACACACACATGCGCACCACTGTGCTTACTCTAAAGGTTTTCCTTTCACAGAATTAGTGAGAAAAGCTCTGTGTTCCAGGCCAGGGGACCGTGCTAAACTCTGTTAAACTTTCCCTTCTTAGCATGCCTCCACTGTCAGAGCAGACCTCCCTGTCATGTGCAGTAGAGCACGTGAGATCGAGGGGTGAGGTTGAGAGTTTAAAGGGCCAGTGGCCAACTTTTGCTGTGTTTACCTTAAAGTGGAGTGGACCACTTGAAAAGGAGCCCTCTGGGAGTCAAGTCAGACAGCCAAGAGCCAGCTATCTCGCCCAGAATTCACCAGCAGGTGGCAGTCATGTCCCTCATGGCCAGTCTTTGGCTTCCTTATGGTTCTTGGAAGCTCCCTAGCCTTGGAGTTTGAGACTGAGAACTGCTGCTGAGGGTAATGGTAGAAGAACCTAAAAACAGCCACTGAGATGCATCCTTTTACCACTACCCTTCTTCAGCCAGAAGAGGCCTAAGAGAGGAGGCTCATTTCTTCCCTGTTTACTTTTTACTCAAATGTGTAAGAAATGTGATGAAAATAGGCAGCTGTACCTAGGGCCCCTTCCCCCTCAAAGGATGTAAGATTTGAAGCACAGTAGACCCTCCCCCAAGAGACAGAAGAGGATCAAGGGACTAGAACACAGATTTAAAAGCTACCAGCACAAGGAGCTCAGGCTGAGCAACTTGGCCGTTACACTTGAGATGCCACTGGCTTGCGGAATGTGGGCATGCCGAGAAAGCTGGGACTTTGTCAGGGCTGCAATAATGTCTCCCTCAGTCTCCCAGTGGATTCTCAGCAACTTTTTCCTAACCAAGATGACTTACATTGTATTTTCAATAAAGTCCAGGTTATCAGGAGCATTCTCTGTTTTGGAGGCCTTCTCATTCCCAGACTCTGCCTCCAGAACTGTTAGTCCCCTCTGTCAGAGAGTCTCCCCAGAGGTATATGGCAAGGGATGATATTGACACCTTGGCCCCCCACACCTCTTAATACTCTAAATGTGGAAGAGGGGAGATGAATCATATAAACAAAAAAATACATAAATCTGTTTAACATCTTCCTTCATCCGCTCCCTGCTGTTAGAGTGGAGTGGGAAGAATATATGTCAGGCAGAACTAGGTTCCCCTCCCAGCTCTGCCATATTAGCTGTGTGATCCTGGATGTGTGATTGAATTTCTCTGAGCCTTACTACCTTAACTGCCAATACAAGCAATCCTGTTCTCCCTGTGGATTATTGTGAGTCTGTAATGAGATATGTATGTAAATGAGGCAATGTATATAAATGTTATTTCCCCCTCTCTTCCTAGCCTCGCTTCTTTTCTCCCACCTCATCTACCACCGGGGGCTATGGCTGGAGAACTGATTCTCCAGGAGAAGTGATTGAAATGGCTGGAGGGGAAGAAGAGAGAAAAAAAATAACTCCCCATTAGTTGGTTTAGCACACATCATGTTCCTAATAAACAAATCCTCCTGCTTGAGGCTAGTGAAGGGACTAAAAGAACAAAAGCTAAAGCGAGGCTATTTATATTTTATTCCAAATCCTCCCTCCCTGCTTGCTTATGGGGGCATTTTTTCATACTGCCCTCACAGCCTGGAGGAGCACAGAACAATCACAGAGCTGGAACCAGCCATAAACTGGCTCTTTTTTCCTTCTGTACCCTTGGGAGGGAGACGAACCTTGTGAATGAACTCTTCCTCCAGGAGAACTGTGGTGTGAAATCCGGAGTGTGGCTGGCCGGGAAAGCTGAGCCAGACCTTGGATGACCCCTCCTACAAAAGCAGGAATCCCTTCTCAAGTGGGCATTCAAGGAGCGTTATGATCGTGGTCCCCAGGAATTGTGTGTTCAGAAAAAATGCTGTGGGAAAAGCCATGTTTGGAATCAGGCAGCAGACACACTGGCTCTGAGAGTCCTAAGATTGCTCTCAACAACTGTAGAGTCCCGAGTAGCTAATGGGGTGGAGTGTACACTGCAGCAGGTCTCTCCTGATAGGATCGTGGATTTGTCAGAGATGCAAAAGCCACAGGCTGCCTTGGGCCTGGTCTCCAGTCTGCTCAGCAGCCTTGCTCTCCATGTGACATTTTTTTTATGATTAACATTGTTGTTCCTCCCCTTTCCCGCCCCACCTCTGCCCTCCCTCCCCCTGCCTCCCCCTGCACTTCCCTCTTCTCTTCCCTGTTCCACATGCCTCTCTGCTGGTCCACAGCCAGTCCCAGCTCTGCAGCCCTCTCCGCAGCCTGTTCAGTTCTCTCCAGGCTCCTGTCCCCAAGTCCTTCTGCCAGTCTCTCCGCCCCAGCAGTACAACATGGTATAAACTCCGTTCCCCTTTTTGTCGTGTCCATGTGTGGTATGTCTGTGGGTCCGTCTGGGACAAAGTAGCTGCACTTTCTGGAAGGCCACGTTAAAAGGCATATCTTCTTGAGCAAAGGGCCAGCATAGGCTGAGCTGTATTCCTTTCTGGTGGCCTCATCACAGAACTGTGGCATCAAAAGATGCCTAAATGTAAGACAGAGAGGAGCACTGGTCCCCCTGAGTTTCGGGAGAAGTACGAAATTGGATGTTGCCCTACCCTGGGCTCCTCGTCTTTCTATTATGTGCATCTGTCAACTCTTCTGCTCCCTGGACATGTCTGAAGAGCCCAGTTTACCCGGTATAGGATGGTTTTCTGTCATTTCCTTTGAAGGTCAAAACACAATTGCAAATTTGTTTGGTATCACTGGTCCAAACTTAAAATGTTCTCCTATGTTACTGTTATTTTATACTTAAAAAAAAAAAATTTCTAATGCATAGCACATGCTGTTTAAATTGTACCCTGACTACAAATCCTATGAAGACCCGAGATACCTCATAATTAATAACTTCTTTTTTTTTTTTAAACTTAACATCTTTTTAAAAAATGTTTATTTATTTTGAGAAAGAAAGAAAGTATGAGCTGGGGAGGGGCAGAGAGAGGGCGAGAGAGAATCGCAGGCAGGCTCCATGCTCAGCGAGGAGGCTGACTCGGGGCTCAGTCCCATAATGTTGATGAGATCATGACCTGAGCCAAAATCAAGAGTCAGATGCTTAACTGACTGAGCCACCCAGGTACCCCATAGTTGATAATTTTTATCTTGGTTACCAGAACCCTGTTTATTTTTAATTTTGTATTAATCACACCTGTTTGGTTTTTTTAAACGTTTATTTATTTTGGGAGAGTGAGAGAGGGGCAGAAAAAGAGTGAGACAGAGAATCCCAAGCAGGCTGCGCACTGTGTGGGGCTTGAACTCATGAACTGTGAGATCATGACCTGAGCTGAAACCAAGAGTCAACCACTCAGTCAGCTGAGCCTCCCAGGCGCCCCACACCCATCCAATTTTTCACTAGAATCTCCTCTTTCCTTCCACCTTTATTGCCATTCTGAAGTTTTGGAATGTAGACCCCAAAACTATCTGCAGTCCAGCCCGCTTGTCATCTATTTCTGCCCACTATGGTAGCAAAACAGCTAAGTTGAAGATCAGATTCCTGAAAATTAAGTGAAACCACAGGAAAACATTGTCTTTTCTTTCTACTAGTTTCTTTTTCTAAAGAAGTCCTGCTCTGCGTGTGTGTGTGTGTGTGTGTGTGTGTGTGTGTGTGTATGGACTACTGTCCGGGAAGCAGAAAAAACAAAGAAGCTAACGAATTATAACCTATCATACAAGTGAGAGGCAGA